GAGAGAGAGAAAGGGAAAGCAAGGCAGCAAGCTAACAGGTCTGGGACTCGAACCGTGGTCGGTCATGTGGGAGTCCAGCGCCTTAATTACTTGCGGGCATCAGAGCGCACATCTTTGATCCTGAAGGACATTGCTCTGTCACCTCTGCAAGTTCTACCGTGGGGCAGCAGCAGAGGCGGCTGGGATGCGCAGAGCCCTGTGTGTGCTAATGCCTGACGTAGCCCTTCGGGAGGCTGTACATGGGGCAGTGATAGAAACCGGGCGTGCTAGGGCATTGCCAGACATTCAGCCCCAGGAGACACCCGTGGCTAGTCCCGTAAGGTGAAGGGCTGCCCTCCCCACACGGGAGGAGGCTCCGAGAAGGGAGACGCCCGCAGTGAGGTCGGACCGGGGGCCCCTTGGCCTCTGGTCATTCACAGAAGTCACCCACACACTGCGTTTGTGAGTCTAGTCCTGGCTGTTGGCGCCGCGGGAACAAGTAGGCCTGGTCTCTAGCCTCATGGGTCTTGCGGAGGTGACTGGCAGGGGACACACGGTGGTGATCAGTCACGCTGAATGTGTTAGCGGAGTTTGACGGACGTCAGGGAAACTGCAGGAGGACTCCTGGCTTGGGCTGGATGACTGGGTCGAGGTGTCGTTCCCGGGATGCAGAGGGCGCGTAGGTGGCAGCCTGGGGGTGGAAGGAGCCAGCTTGGCTGCCCTGGGCCAGGCACAGGCAGGAGTCCACACACAGCAGGACACAAGAGGGATGAAGCCCAGAAGAGGACCGAGGGCGAGGGTGTAGACAGACTTGGGGGGCCTGAGGCGGAGCAGGTTGACATGGGTTGAAGAAAGCTGTTCTAAAATGCAGGTTTTGTCATGATGCCGGTAAGCTGAGGCAGGTGATGACAGAGGGCGCCTGCTGAAGAGAGCGTGTTCCCTGCAGTTCCTAAGGGGCTGTGGGGCTGGGCGGGAGCAGAGGGAGGGCGAGGCCTGTACTGTGGCTTCTGCGGAGCCCAGCGGGTGAAGTGGGCTAGGCAGACCCAGAGCCGGCTGGTTCAGATCACTTCTGTGGGACTGAGGCCTGAGGACTGTCCCCGGCTGTCTGGCACCTGCCCTGGGGCACTGGGGCAGAGGGGTGGTGGCCTAGCATGTGACAGCTCAGAGAAGAGGTGGTCTGGGCTCTGGCTTGGCTGGTTGCATGGGACAGGGAGTTCCGGGCACTTCGTGTCCCTAGGCTGCCCTCTGGGCTCAGCGAGGCCCCTCGAAGTCAAAGCATTTGCAGACAGAAAACGCGAAGGCACCAGGAGGCCAGAGGCCCAGGAAAGGCCCCGAGGACAGCCACGCTGAGGGGGAGGGACTGGGCCTGGTGAGAAAAGCAGGACAGGGTGCTGTTGTACCAGTGTGGGGGGAAAGGGGGAGCAGGGTAGGAAGGGGTGGAGACCTAGGGAGTGGGGGGGCCCTAAAGGCCCTTGAGGACAGAGCCAGATATGAGGCCGCTGAGGGAATGGCCAGGGAGTTTCAAACTGTTTCATGAAATGTGTCTTTAGATTTTGTTATTGCCGGAGGGCATGTGTGCTTACAGAGAGAGAGAGAGCCAGAGAAAGGGAGCGGGGATGGGAGAAAGCACCCCCAGGGCCGTGGTCACGCTGCAATCCCTTCTCCTCCATCTCTGCAACCTGTCGGGATTTGGGGCAGCGATGCACACACGCACTGTGTTTTTCAAGGCACCAGGAGAGGGATTTGAACCATGGTCGGCCATGTGGGATGAGGCTCCCTTAACTTGCTAGGCTGCAGGGCCAGCCCAAGAAATTTGTCTTTGAGGACTCAGAGGGGAGGATGGGAGATGGGGCTTTTTCCTTTAACTAGAAAGAAATCATTATGGTTAAAAGCTGAGAGGAGTGGGTCGGCAAGTGACGTGGTGGTTAAGGGCATTGGATTCCCATTTGGCTGACCATGGTTTGAGTCCCAGATCTGGCAGCTTGCTTTCTCACTTTCTCTCTCTCTCTCTGTGTGCTCTGTCCTTCTCTGGTCAAATTTAAAAAATGAAGTTAAAATAATTCTTTAAAAATAAATAAGTAAATAAAACTGAGGGGAAGCATTAGCGAGAGGACAAAGGGGAAGACAGAGAAGAAGGAGAGGCCGGGGAGCCGTGTCTTTCGGGAGCACAGCTTTTAAAAACTTTTTTTGGGGCTGGCAGGTGGCATGGTGACTAAGGTTCTGGCCTCCCACATGATTGATCATGGTTCAAGTCCTAGGCCTGGTGGCTTGAAAATTACTCAGGGTGCACGTGCATGCGTGCCCAAAGTCCCAGGAGAAGAGTGGAGTAGCGACTGCTACACACTACTGCGGTGTGGCCATCCCCCTTGGGGGGTGATTTCTCGCTTTCTCGCCCTGGCAAGTGCACGTGCCCTATGGCCAAAACCTAAAACAAAATGAAAACCACATTTTCGGGGGGAGGTAAGCAGGCTAACGACGGGTGGGTGGAGAGGCAGCTATGGCCACAGGATGGGGAGGGTGCCACAGGGACATTTCCTAGCTATACGCCCGCCAGTCGGTCACCACTTGAACACTGTTCACAGTTTTTATTCTCCATCTTCAATATCAGATCACAGCTTGCTATCAGTACGTCACTTTAATAATGTGAGTGTGCCGTGAACAGTGGGGAACACCCGGGCTCCCCATCCCCTCACCCCCACAGCAGCCCTCTGGGGTGGGCAGAGCTGGCCAGAACCTTCTTCTCATTTTCAGGAGAGCCACTGATGTTGCAGAGTCCCACGTCGGATGGGGACAGCCCGCAGTCCCAGCATGTTCAGCGGCCCAGTTACCACTACCTGGTGTGGGCTGGTCACCCCCTTTCTTTCTTTGTTTAATTTTTGATAAATTTTTGCTATAGGGCGCATACACTTGCCAGACAGAAAGCGAGAAATCACCCCCCAGGGGGGGATGGCCACACTATAATCCCTTCTCCATTCTCCTCTTGAGATCTTGGGCACGCATGCACATGCGCCCGGCATGAGTTTAAGCCACCGGGTCTGGGTTACGCCAACTGCTGGTCCCTATATTCTTAGGCACCTCCAGCAGCTAAAACTGTTACCTCTGAAGGGAGTGAGGCGCCTGGCTGGGAGGGAGCCTGGAGGTACCACCTGGACCTGCAGGCGGCTCGGGTGGGAGGTCAGCAGTGCTGGAGCTCCGGAGCAGAGTGCTCCGTGCTCACAGAGCCATGCACGCTGCAGAGCTGGGCTCTTTTCTCCTGGCCACACTGCAGACCCGGGCTAACTGACCAGCTCTCGCAGAGCCCCGTCCTGCGACCTGCCCCATCTGCCCCTGCTGCACGCCTGTGCTCCGCGAGGCCTTCTGGAGTCTGCTAATCTGGTCTCTTGGTTCACCCTCTCCATCATCTTTCATACTCACAGTCTGGTCTGTGGGGGGATGTGATGGAGAAGCCCACGGTGACCACCGTCCTTTCCTAGACGTGGCAGAGCGTGTGAAGCCAGGTGCCCCAGGAGGGGCGAGGCTGGAAGTCAAGTTCCTGGAAACACCTCCCAGTGTGGGGCTGGCCTGAAAGCCTGGCCTCCCACGCCTGGGCAGGCGGCCCTCACAAGGCACGGGGTGAGGGCCTCTAGCCCCAGGTAGCCTGGGTGAATCACTGGCGGCTCTGGAAACGGCTGGATGCTGGAGGACATTAGTCAGTGGGCACTGACGTCCCTTCTGCCCAGCCCTGAGACCAGTGAGTGTATCCACAGCCCCACTTCCTCCTGAGCTCACGGGGTTTCCACATGTCTGGCTCGGGATGTCTCTCGTGGCTTCCCTGAGTGTCCCGCGGTGGGCTGCCTCCAACCACCACGGAGCTTCGTGCTGGCGTCCACGATTCCCTCTGACTGGTAGCCTCTGGCAGCCTGGTGCCCTATGAAGAAAGAGACTCGAAAATATAGAGGTGGGGGTTGGCTGGTGGTGAAGGCACTGGGACCCATGAGGCTGACTGCATAGTTCAAGTGCCCTGGGGTGTGTGTGTGTGTGTGTGCATGTGTGCCTGAAGTCTGGAAGGAGAATAGAGGGGAAGGGATTGCAGCATGAGCATCCCCGTGTGTGTGTGTGTATGTGTGTGTGCGCGCGTGCCGGAGGTCTGAAAGGAGAACGGAGGGGAAGGGATTGCAGCATGAGCATTCCGTGTGTGTGTGTGTGTGTGTGTGTGTGTGTGTGTGTGTGTGCTTGTGTGTGTATGTATGTATGTGTGCTAGTCTACTAGCAAAGAGAGGGTGTTTCAGAATCTCCTAGTGGAATGTGGAGTTTGGAAAAAAACAGCTCAACTTTACATATATATGTGAAAAAAAGTTTAAAGTCATGTCACAAAACGCAAACTACAGAAGGTAAAGCACAATGGAACGTTCTTGGCCAGTGGAGCCATGCAGAAGAAATGTGGCACCTCTCTCATCTGGAATTGTGAGCAAAGCCAAGAAGTGTGTGTGTGTGTGCGTGTGTGTGTGTGTGTGTGTGTGTGTGTGTGTGTGTTGTCTTTTTGCTTCCCCACCCCGTATTTCCCGGCAAGCCCATGGGCCTTCTGACAGACTCTTTGGGTTGGAGGACCAAATACCACTGAGCTGATGCACAAAAGTGGTCACAGCCCTTATTTCTGGACAATACACAGCGGACGGGAGATCTTCAAATAGATCGTGGAAAACAGATAACATGAGCAAACTGACCACAGGAGCTGGGAGACTCAGATTCAAGCAGAGCCTGTGCTTGGGACCAGCGAGGCTGCAGAAAGTCACCTCAGCCCCCAGCCTGAGTGGCCCTAGGTGTGGCCAGCCAAGGGGTCCCAGGTTTCTCGTGGTGAGGCTGCTGGCCGAGTGGTGTTCCCAGGCTGTGTACTGAGGGGAACGAAAGTGCTTCTTGCACCCAAGTCTTCCAGAGAAAAGTAAGCAGTCTGACAGTTACTGTACCCCCACCCCCGCCGTAGTAAATAGGATAGCGTAGATCAAAGCTTTATTTAGGTAAGTCTGATAAAACATACTGAAAAGTAAAACACATTAAAAACTTTATTGTCGTCTCACACATCTAAATGCGCATCAATTTGATACACTGCTGCTCATTCTGCAGAGCGTAAGGGTTGTGGGTTCATTACGGTCAACTTGCGTTAGGTCTTTCGCTCCCTTCGCACCCCACCTCCTGCCTCCCTGCCCCTGATGGGCAGCCTCTGCAGCCTGCTGGCCCTGGATCAGGGCCTGGCTGGGGCCTAGGAAGAACCTCCAGAGGGCTGAGTGGCAGGCCAGGCAGGTTAGCCTGCAGGGGGAGTGGGCTGGACAGAGGGCCTGCTCATCCTCTCAGGCCGCGCCCTGCTGGGCCCTGCTGGGCTCTAGTCCAGCCCTGCACTGCGCCAAGGAGCCCGCTCCTCTGTTCTCCTTATTCCATGTCATTCCCTGGCCTGAGTGGCTAACTTCAGATATTCTGAGCAAAATTAACTCCAGTTAAGTTTCCTAGAAAATTCCAGAACCTTAATCAGTCTCAATGATTATCGGTGGAAGTGGGGACAGAATCGAGACATGCCCCGGGATAGGATGGGTGGGACAGTGTGGAGTGGGGTTGACTTGCTGCCACCCTGCTCTAAGCCTCGCTGAGACTGCGTCCCCCCGGGAAGTGTGAACACTGAACGGCCCCTGGGATTCAAGGACACGTCCACGAAAAAGAAAAAGCAATGAAAAAGTCCACCAAGAATCAAGTGGCACGTCCTTCCCTCCCGGCGATTCCGACCGGCGGTGCAGGACACGCACTGCAGTGAAGACGATCCTGGCGGCCGCAGCTCCCCAGCAGGAGACCCGGTGGACTGCGTGCAGACCTGCAGTTCTGACACGTTTTAAATACAGCAAGAATGAATGATGGTTCTCCAAACTGAAATGCCCAATAAAAAAATAAAGATAGAAAATACATGCTAATTTAATGGCAAACTCATTTTGATACTAATAACGGCAACAATCTTGGAGTTGAGAACAGTGCAGTGGGACCCCCCTTTCCCAACGAGGACATCGGCGACAGAGCCTGCTTGGTCCTAGGGGCCGATCTGGTGGCGGGGACCATGCCACTGAGATGAGGTGGCTGGGCCGGGCCCAGTGTCGGCCTCCGACACTCAGTGCTGCAGCAGGAAGTTGGTGGCCACGTTGAGGTCATTGTTTGACGCTCTCAGGGCTTCCAAAGCATCACCTCTGGAAAATCCCATCTCCATGAGCCGAGCGACCTGAAAGCAGAAAGAGCAGAAGCCTGAGGAGCTGGCGGCCTGGCCGCGTCTCCACTAGGCCCCCAAACTGCCGTCCCAGCCTTCTCTAAGTGTATTTCTTCCATGAGAGAAAGGGAGGCAGACAGTGGGGAAAAGGGCAGGGAAGGGAGAGGCAGGCGTCCCCCATGACCCACCCCCATCTCGGCCAGCCTGCATCAGACAGGGGCGGGCCAACGTGCACCCGGAGGCCAGGAAGAGAACCTGGGACCTGGCTGTGTGGACCCAGCTGCGCCACCGCTTGGCCCCCTAACTGTTCCTCATGTGAGCTTTGGGGAAAAGATCAAAATCTAGTTAAAAACCCAACAATTTATTTCCATTTCAGTGTGAAATCTGATGTTTAACTATTACGCGAGTGCACGCTTTCCAGTGGTTACTCTAGGCAGCAAATACACGTGCTCCTCTAACGTCATTCTCCTTTTTATTTATTTTTGTAGACATTTTTGCCTGAAGATGTGTGCATTCACCAGAGAGACAGAGACAGAGACAGAGACAGAGACAGGCCCAGAGTGGCATCCCCCTGGGGAATGGCCAGGCTGCAATCCCTTCCCCATTCTCTTCCTGGGAACTTGGGCACGCACACATGTGCACCTGGTGTAAGTTTCAAGCCAACAGGTCCAGGACTGGAACCGTGGTCAGCCGTGTGGGATCCAGTGACATAACCACTACGCCATCTGCTGGCCCCATGTGGTCCTCCTTTTAGAGATGGGAAATGGGGCTTCTGAGGGTTCAGTGACCAGCTAGGGCCAGGACAGCCTGAGCTTACTGGCTGGCCCCCAGCCTCAGTGTCAAGTTCGGCTCCTGAGGAACAGCCTAGGCAGCCGTGTTTCCAAGCGTGTGTGCCAGACTGCACGGCTGGTTTGATCCCTGAGGCTGGCCCCCTGTGGTACCGATGCACGGCCAGTCCTTGGGGTCACACGGCCAGAGAAGGGCCCTGGGCGCCACATCTTTGGCACTGCAGCGCCGCTAGGTTTGCAGTTTCAGGCGGCAGTAGCGAGAACGGGGGCGGGGGTGCTGAACCTGGGGCAGGACCTGGGGAGAGGCGGGAGCTAAAGGCCCCGGGGTTGGGAGGACCAGGCTTGCTTTGCCTTTTTTTTTTTTTTTTAAACCCCAACTCCTACGTGAATATAGAGGTTTCCTGTACTTTTATATGCAAGCCGTCCCCAATGTTGAACTAGGCAATGTTAGTAAGGTTTATTTTCTCAGTTAAAAATGTAATATAAAAATAGTTGTGGCCCTGGCCTGGCCAAAGGAATCCCTTTTTTCTTTTGTACTTTTAAATACACACTTCAAACGAATATAGAGAACAATACCTCTGTAGATGTGATCACTGTGGGCACTGGGGACTTTCTGAGGGCCCAGTTGCAATGTCGCACACACAGGGCACCGCAGTGGGAGGCTGGGGCCACGAGGGGAAGGGACTAAGTGGGAGATGGGGTCAGAGGACTGCAAGGGTGTTTGACAGGGCACCAAAAACAGGAGGTAGCGTGGTGGCTGGACTCCCACGTTGACTGTGGTTCAAGTCCCAGACCTGGTGGCCTGAAATTCATATCGGCCGTGTGTGTGTGTGCGCGTGCACGTGTGTGCCCAGAATCCCAAGAGGAGAATGCAGGAGAAGGGATGGAGGCACGGCCATCTCTCCCCCGGCTGTAGAGGAGTGATTTCTCGCTTTCTGTCTCTCTCTGGGGAGCACATGCACCTTATAGTAAAAATCTCTAACCCTTCCCCCTCCCCCCCCCAAACCAACCATTCGCCCTCTGCCCTCTTCCCGCTTGCCAGCATGGACATGCTTTCTCTTAACTACCCGCCTGCCCACCCGCCTAACTTTAAACGGCCTCTGTGGGCTGACGACTCAGAAACTGTTCCTATTCTGTCCTGCCAACAGGAGGCAGTGTGCCGTGCGCCACTTGGCGGAGCGAGAACGGGCGCGCCACTGCCGCCTGCCAAGGCTGGGGACTACAAGATGGTCCCACGAGGAGAGGAAGCAGCTGCAGAGGGAGCCGGGTGGGCAGAGGTGGGGGCCTGAGTGACACCCAGATCTCTTTTCCCCTAAAGGGCCTTAGGGAAACAGCAGAGAGGAGACAGGCACCTGGGGACACTTCCCATAGGCTGCCATTGTAGCTGGCTTCTTTCAAATCAGAGATCTCGCCTGTCTCATCCGGCCGTGAGCACTCAGGGGTCCTTTGAGCCCCGACTGGGACTCGAAGTGCACGCAAGGGGGGGGGGGGCGGTCCTCCTGAGCAGCCCCGCACTCCGCATGCGCGGTGCTG